ATGACTTGGTGGCCCATGGTTAAGCATTCAGTCTCTACTAAGGCCCAGTAACAAGCCAAAAGCTGTTTCTCAAAAGGAGAGTAGTTATCTGCAGAGGATGGCAGGGCTTTGCTCCAAAATTCTAAGGGTCTGCTCTGTGATTCACCTATAGGTGCCTGCCAAAGACTCCAAACAGCACCTCTATCTGCCACTGACACTTTGAGCGCCATTGGATCAGCTGGATCATATGGCCCACGTGGCAGAGCAGCTTGCAGAGTAGCCTGGGCCTGTTGCAGAGCCTTCTCTTGTTCTGGACCCCACTCAAAACTAGTAGCTTTTTGAGTCACTTGGTAAATAGGCTATAGTAGCACATCCAAATCAGAGAAATGTTGCCTCCAAAATTCAAAGAGGTCCACCAGGCATTGTGCCTCCTTTTTAGTTGTGGGAGCAGCCAGCTGCAATAACTTATGCTTCACTTTAGAAGGAATATCTCAACATGCCCCACACCACTGGACCCCTGGAAATTTCACTGAGGTAGAAGGCACCTGAATTTTTGTTGGATTAATTTCCCACCCTCTAGCACACAAATGTTTTACCAATAAGTCCAGAGTCATTGACACTTCTTCCTTACATGGTCCAATCAGCATAATATCATCAATGTAATGGACCAGTGTGACATCTTGTGGAAGGAAAAGGCAATCAAGTCCCTTCAGACTAAATTATGACACAGGGCGAGAGAGTTGAAATACCCCTGAGGTAGAACACTGAAGGTGTATTTCTGGCCTTGCCAACTGAAGGCTAACTGCTTCTGGTGCTCCTTTGAAGCTAGATTTGAGAGGAATGCATTGGCCGGATCAATAACTGCAAACGAGGTACCAGGAGATATATTAATTTGCTCAAGAAATGAAACCACATATAGAACAGCAGCTGTAATTGGAGCCACCATCTGGTCAAATTTTCAATAATCCTCTATCATTCTCCAAGATCCATCTGTTTTCTTGCACAGGCGAAATAGGTGAGTTGAATGTGGATGTGAATCACCACCCCTGCATTCTTTAAGTCCTTGATGGGGTAGTAATCTCTGCAATCCCTCCCAGAATGCACTATTGCTTTTGGTTTACTATTTTGTTAGGTAAGGGTAATTCTAACGGCTTCCACTTGGCGTTTCCTACCATAATAGCCCTTACTCCACATGTCAGGGATTCAATATGGGGGTTCTGTCAGTTGCTGAGTATATCTATTCCAATTATCCATTCTGGAACTGGAAAATCACTACAGGATGGGTTCAGGGAACCACTGAACCCACTGTGAGATGAACCTGAGCTAAGACTCCATTAATAACCTGACCTCCATACACCCCCACAAACATCAACGGGCTACAGTGACATTTTGGGTCTCCTGGAATTAGTGTCAATTCAGAGTCTGTATCCAGTAATCCCAGAAAATTCTGATTATTTTCTTTTCTCCAGTGAACAGTCACTCTCATAAAAGCTGTAAATCCCTTTGGGGAAAGCTGGGAGAAAGATTAACAGTATAAATTTTTGGCAGTGTAGTGGGATCCTTCCTCAAGGGGACCCAGCCTCCCCTTCATTCAAGGGGTTGTGGGTCTGTTAACTTGTTCCAGTCTGGGAATTGATTGAGGGACCATGACTCTCTATTCTGGCCATTTGAGTTAGACTGCTATTCATTGGACCTAGAATTTTTCCACTTGTACGGATCAAGTAAATATTTAGTAGATTTCTCATTTATTTCACTTGTAAGGACACCATGACTAAGTAGTCAACACCATAAGTCCATACAAGTCAGACTATTCTGATTACTGCTTTAGCTCTGCTGTGCATTATGGTAACCACGCTTATCTTGTCTTTGCTGATTTAGTGCCTCCACTTGACCCCTACTACCATGGAGTCCAATCAGTCCCATTGTAGTTCCACGTTTTAATTCAGTTATGGCAGCTCCCACTGTCAAATCTGACTTACATAAAACAGCAATCACAGCAGTCTTCAAGGATGCTGGGTCTCCCTTCACCAATTTGTTGCTCACTGTTGTGGTAATAGGTGTGTCCTCTGGGCACTCCATGAATGAGTCTGTGGGTCCAACCTGATAAATCCACCCTAATATGCCAATTTCCCTAAGCCTTTGGATACCTTCTTCTACAGTATACCAAGGCAGGTCTGGTACTTCAACATGATTTAGTGTAGGCCACCACTTAATCCATGCTTCAGGGAACCAACCAAATAAACTATTAGATCTTTTCCTAACTTCTCGAGCTGAAACATTAAATGAAGAATCTGTGCTTAGTGTGCCCATATAAACTCAGACTTATCCAACTTTACATTCCTTGCACCATTATCCCACATTCTTAATAGCCATTCCCATACATATTCCCCAGGTTTCTGTTTGTACAGATTAGAAAAATCAAGTAGTTCTTTCTGAGTGTAGCGTACCTCCTCCTGGGTCACAGTTTGTACTTCACCTTTTGGGGCTCATTGGGACTTAAGTCTAGTTATAGGTCTAGAAGCCAAAATGGGTGGTAAGGATGTGTTCTGAGAACATTCAGCAATGTCTTGTAAGGCATCTGCTTCAGGTGATGCCCCAGGCAATGACTCAGATGCTGCCCCAGGCGATATCTCAGACAAAGGTTCTTCAAACACAGCTGGGTTAATCTCCTCAGATGGCGGTGGAGCGGCTAATGGTTTTACTTGAAAGGGTGGCTTATCAGACAAAGATGGAGTAATCTCTTCAGATAAGAGTGAGAGGGATGGTTCTGTTGACAGGAGTGATTCAATGGAATTTAGGGGCTCAGTGTCCCCAGCTTCCTGATTATCTGCCCATATGTCCCCGTTCCATGTTTCAGGATCTCATTTCTTCCCAATCAGTGTTCTCACTTTAGCTTCAAACACCATTTGAGGTTGGGAATTCAACTGAAATTGTAATTCAGCCACTCTTAGGATAAGACTCTGGGTTTCATTTTTGGCAATATCAATTATGTTACTTCAAGACGTAAGGCTTTCTTTCAGGGCACAAGTGGCAACTTTGAGATTATTTATGCAGCTCTTGAGCTGTGACTCTGAAGCCCTGAGGTCATCTCTTTTTTTCACCACTTTGTGTAGTGAAAGTAGGACCAATCAACCAGTCTTCTTATAATTCTCATTCTGACAAAATTTTAGAGAAGTATCAAACATGCGATCACATAGAACCTTGCCTCTCACCAACACTTGATGTATTGTTGGTGATATTTTGCATATTTCTATTGCCACCTCACACCATGGATTAGCAGTGCCCTCTTTACTTCTGGATGGAGAGTCATCAACATCTTTAAGACTTACCAGACTTGAGAATGAATTTAGAAAACTCATCTTTACAATTTTGTTTCTCTAGAACCACTCTCAGTACGTAATGTCTTAGGCTAGGTTCTCTGGCAAAGCAAAACCAGTGAAGTGTATATACATATATAAAGAGAGATTTAGCTCAAGGAAATGACTCATGCAGTTGTAGAGGCTGGCAAGTCCCAAGTCCATGGGTCGGGCATCAGGCTGGAGGCTTCTTTTGACTCACACAGCTGCATGGGCTGATGAATCCAAGATCGGCAGGTAAGACAACAGGCTGCTCGCTCACAGGCTGCAGGGTCCAATAAATTCTAAGTTTGGCAGGCAATACAACATGCCGAAGGCTCATGTCCCAAGAACCGTGTGCTGAGGAGCCAGATGCAGCATCCAGAGCAAGCAAAAGCCAATGAGTTTTGCCAGAATGTCCATATATATTGGATGCAGGCCACACCCCTGAGGAAACTCCCCTTATAACTGATTTGCTGATCACATCATATCACATCATGGAGGAGACTGCATTATATCACAAAATGGAAGATAATTACATCATTACATAACTGCATAACAGCAGCATTACATAACTGCCAAACCACTGAGAATCAGGCCAACCAAGTTGACAGACAACCTTAACCATCATAATACCTAAGACAATTAAAAATGTATGCTCACACAAAAACTTGTACACAAATGCTCATAGCAACATTATTCATAATAGCCAAAAAGTGGAAACAACCTAGATATCCATCAACTGATAAATGGATAAATAAAACGCAGTATATCCATACAAAGAAAATTATTCAGCTACAAAAAGTCCAGAAGTACTGATTCTTGGTACAACATGGACAAACCTTGAAAGCATTATGCCAGGTGAAAGAAGCTAGTCACAAAAAACTATATATCATATGATCCCTTTTATAAGAAATGTCCAGAAAAGGCAAATCTATAGAGATAGAAAGTAGATTAGCAGTTGCCTAGGACTGGTAGGTGGGGGAAGAAATTTGGGGAGGATGAGGAGTGACTTCTAAGGATACAAATTTCTTTTTGGAATGATGACAATGTTCTAAAATTAGATTATGGCGATGTTACACAACTCTGTAAATATACTATAAATCATTGAATTGTGCAATTTATATGGGTGAACTTTATGGTATGTAAATTTATCTCAATAACACTGCTTAAAAACAAAACTCACTATATAAAAAGTGTTCTCTTCCTCCAGAGAAAGAGGAAGTTATTTCTGGCTGGGGGGAAAGGAAGAGTAGAAGTAGAGGGGCATCTTGTGCAGGAGAAGGGGAGACATGTCAGCAGATGCCCTGGTGCCCTGGTCACACCTGATCTCAGCTGTGGCCACAGGGGACAGCTCAGGCTTGTCTCATGCTGACACCCTCCCACCTCAAGTGGGTAACGTACACACCTTTCACTTTCTACCTCTACCGTAGGAAGGGCCGGGAGTTAACATTCCCAATGGGTCAAGTGAGAACCGCTCCAGCCCCCTCCTCTGTCATTCTGAGCTTTCAGGAGCCCCTGCTGGAGGCTGGCTTTATTTCCCAGCAATGATCTCAATATCTGCTCCCTTCCGTTGCTTTTCCTCCTCCCCTGCCTCCCTCTCTGCTTCCTGGGGTCACCTTCCAAATATACCCTGAGCTCCCAGCCCGTGTCTCCTGCTCTGCTTTCAGGTCCCCGGTGTCCTACCATCAATGTAAGCTGGGATCTGCCCAAACATGGTGAGGTATGAGTGGTAGACAACCCCTCGGAAGATCCAATCCACCCGGTTCTCGTTGTGGATGAGGATGGCCTGCTTGGCCACTCCAAAGGACACGACCCACACCGCCAACAGGAAGAGGAAGAAGAAGACGTCCTTCATCTGCAGAGACAGGTGGCACGATGGATTGGACCCCACACCTGCCCCCAGGCACTCTCCCCCCAGACGCCCCCAGCATGCTCAGCAATGGCAGGAGAAGCCACTGACACCCACAGCGTAGACAGTGAAGCCCAGACCACACACTCAGACCACAGTAGTTGTGTGCTGACACCCTCTCTGGGTGGAGCACCTCACGAGGCATAGGAGGGGTCAGACATAACCATGACCCAAAGAGGGAAGCTGTAACAGAGGGCTGTGGACATTCAGAGAGAAGAATCGGAGAAGGTTTCCTGGAAGAGGAGACATACGAGAAGGATGTTTCAAGGCGTGGGAGCCCCAGGGGCAACGTCAGGAAGGGGGAGCCTAAGGGGTGTGCTTAAGCCCCGTCCGCCTCGCTTGCATACAGCATGGACTTCCCCCAGCCCAGGTGGAAGGCCCCTCACCCCCTTACCATCCGCTTCACGATGATTATCTTGGGCCCCAGCGTCTTACTGACGGTAAAGATGTGCATCAGCCGGAGGCAGAACATGATGAAGTCCAGGGACAGGATGATCCGCCCAGGGTACAGCGTTGCCGGAATGAGCCTGGCAGCCCGGGGCAGAAGCAGAGACACCTCCTCACCTCGCTGCTCCCTGGGCAACTGGCAGCGGCTCCCAGAGCCTGTGGGACCTCTGAGCACCAGCCCCTACTTCATCTGCCCAGTCCAGGCAAACAGCTCTGGGAGACCCTGGACCCCAATGTTTTAAAAACTGGTGTGAGATCGAGGGGGCAGAACCTCCAGAGAGGACGGGCTTTTCTTCCAGAAGTTCTAGAAGCTCACGCTCAGGCAAGGAAACAAGGTGGCTTGGCCTGGCCCCTCCTGCTTCATGGTCAGTCCTGGAGAAGGGGCCATGGTGTCTCCAACACACGGGGCCTTAACAGGCAGTGGAGTGACCTCGGGCACCAGTGGGAGGGAAATAAGGAAGCCAGAAGACCCCCGGGCACTGGGCCAGCCCAGTGGTCAATGCTGATGGCCCACATGCGGGCAGCTTTCTGCAGTTTACAGGGCGCTTTCCTGGGCATGTCCCACCATTGCTCCTTCCCACAATCCGAGAGTAGGAGGGGCAGCTTTCCTCATACACCCATTGGACAGGTGAGAAGCGGGGGTCAGAGAGGGGCAGCCTTGCAAAGGGCAGCAGGGCTGGGACCCCTCCTGGGGAGTGGCGAGAAGGCAGAGGGGTTCCTGGCTTCTCACCTGCAGGTCAGCCCTGCTATGAAGAGCAGGATGGCTCCGACGTCCAGCTTATTCCAGAAGTCGCTGAAGTACAAGGAGGCCATCTTCAGCAGCCCGAACCCGTTGGGGTTGTAGAAGAGCTACTGGGAAGAGAGACGGTTAAGGGGCGGCCTGATGCTTTGTTCTTAACATGAGTAGCAGCCACCCACCCCCCCATCCAGCCCTGAGGGTCCCATCAGCCCAGTCAACTCCATCTTCTGCCACCAGGAGCTGGCACCATGGGGACGCAGTGGGGACACCCCCTTCCCAGGGGAGGGAGAAGACACCCCAGTTCCCATAGAGTCACAGACGGGTGCTGCTAGGGTGAGGGGTGGAATGGGGAGAAGCAGAGAGGTGGGGCACGCACTCTTGGGGGAGAAGAAGGAGGGGAACGGGCGGCACAGGGACTGCGTGGGGCTCAGTGGGGATGGGCCTTAGCCAAGGGTCCCCATGAGAAAGCGAAAAGCCCAGGGGCGAGGGGACGGGGGCTGCCAGGACCAAGGGCTCCAGGAGGGGGGGGCCGCACCTGCCGCGTCTCCTCGCACACCAGCGAGAAGAGCCAGCAGTAGACGATGCACTCCCGCCAGGAGGGCGAGGCCTGGAAGTCCACCATCAGCACGTGGGCGAACAGCCAGAGGAAGGCGAAGTAAGAGAGAATGTTGAGGTGGAAGATGACCACAGGCGCGCTGAAGAAGGCCCGGACGCGGGCTGACCGGTCCGACTGCAGCCTCTTCTCCCTGCGGGCCAGGGCATGGAGAGCGCAGCGCTGCAGGGTCAAGGGTGGGGAGGAGGGCCCTCGCCCTTCAGAGCCAGGCGCTGGGCCCCAGAACCTCATCGCTACCAGGACGGGTGTACAGCTCACACCGCAGCTGGGCCGAGGAGCCAGGACACAGCCTGGTCTGTCTAAATGACCACAGGGAGGGACAAAAGGGAGACTTGGCCAGACAAGGCAGGAAAGAGGTGTCCTCATGGGGACCCCCAGAGACGGCCCTCTGACTCAGTTTCACTGGGTCTGGAACAAATATCCAAGTCCTAACGGCCAGTCCAAACCAGCTGGGAAGTCGGGGTATTCCAGAAGCAGATGCTGACCAGTCAGGAGTACCAGAGGCTCTCAGAAAGTCACATCTGGGGGAGGGCTGGGGGAGGAGCTCAGAGCGGGATGGGGCTGACACCTGAGTGGGGCAAGGACTGGCGAGGAGCAGGGGGAGGAGAGGCAGCATCGAGCCAGGACCCTTCAAACCTTCACTGGCTCAGCCCCTTACTGCTCTCGGTGACACTGGCAGAGTGTGACCTGGGAACCCTAGCTGCTTGCATCATGAGCATCACCACGTCCCTCCAGGAGCTCCAGCCCGGCTTGAAGACCCGACTTGGCCCAGGTCCCATCTTGCTGTGGTCCTGGACGGTGACCCTCCAGGCCTGGGCTGCCCACCCAGGAATGGGGCCCCTGCCTGGCAGTTCTTTCTCACAAGGTGACAGCAAGGACCGCGGGGCAGAGTGTGAAGCACTCCACCCAGGGCCTGCTGTATGAGGACCACCAGGAACGCAGGCAGAGGCTGGGCTCTGGTGGCAGACGGGACCCTACTGTCTTCTGGGAAGGTGGGAAGAGCAAGCTGGCTTTGGAGTCTCAGCCAGCTGCCCACCTCTATGTGGACCCTCTGCCCTGCTCACTCCAGATGCCCTGACTGCTCAGGCACCTGGCCCCTCATAGCGCCACGGTGGCCAGCCCACGTCCAGGAAGAAGCGGTGGGGGAGGGTCTGGCACTGGCCTCCTGGCTAGGACCCAGGACCAGCCAGACTCAGGTGGAGTCCCTGTGCCTTGGGCTCTACACAGCAGAGACGGCGCCGGCCTGGTCAGCCTGAGCCCGCGAGAACATCAGGGGGTGCCAAGCCTCCCATCACTGCTGACCAACACCCCTCTCAATAGCAAAAGAGTCACAGGCCACAGCCTCTCAGCCTGGTTTTCACCACAGTGCTTACTGCCCCACCCTACACTTCAGGTCCGGTTTGAGCGCTGGCAGAGACTGAGCCCATTGGCTCTACCCATCCCAGGGGAGCCAAGGAGAGAAACAGGCCTAGCTCGTGGGGGGCAGGCGCCTGAGACACATGGCCATGGTGCCATCTGCCCCTGCCGGCTGTTGGTGCTGTTATCAAATGCCTTCCACAGCCCTGCACCATGGGCCTCTCAGGAAAGGGCACACGCACTCACTCCACCTCGGGGCAGCATAGGGCAGCCCCAGACACACGGCCCAGAACCGTGCTCCCATCACCCACAGGGGACACCAGCCCCAGCACTGAGCCTCATCACCCACAGGGGACACTGGCCCCGGCACTGAGCTCCATCACCCACAGGGGCTGAACTCCATCACCCACAGGGGACACTAGCCCCGGCACTGAGCTCCATCACCCACAGGGGACACTGGCTCCAGAACTGAGCTCTGTCACCCACAGGAGACACTGGCCCCGGCACCAAGCTGTGTTATCCACAGAGGACACCAGCTCTGAACACTGTGCTCCCGTCACCCACAAAAGACACCAGCCCTGGCACTGAGCTCCCTCACCCTCGGGGGACACAAGCCCCGGCACCAAGCTCCGTCACTCACAGGGAACACCAGCTCTGAGCACTGTGCTTCTGGCACCTGCAGGGGGACAGCAGCCCAGGCACCAAGCCCCCATCACCTGCCTCTACCTGCCAGCAGGGTATTCTCCAGACCAGAGAAACGCAAGCTAGGCCCGTGGAGCCCAGACCAGCTCCAAGAGAGGCACATGGTCGGGAGGGCAGTGAAGGAAAATGTCCCCCACAGGGAAGTCTGGAGCAGTGCTCAGCTCCACGGCTACAGCAGAGCAGTCACATGGGGTGGTGTGGACCGGCTCCCCTCTGGCGCCTGAGACTGTTTCCCACCTGCCTCTGTGCTGGTGGGTTGGCAGCTCTGTGCAGTCCATCTGTGCAGGCGCAGGGCCAGGACAGGGTCAGCACATCGCATCCCCCCACCCTCCTCTCCACCTTGATGTTTGCACAGAACAGCATGACACTGGCTTTTAAGGCCTGATGGGGGAGGAAGTTGATGTCGCTTACAAAATAGCAAGCATGGTGCTTGGTGCACAGTGGGTGCTTGGTGCACAGTGTGTACTTGGTGCACGGTGGGTGCCTGGTGCATGGTGGGTGCCTAGTGCATGGTAGGTGCCCGGTACACGGTGTGTGCTTGGTGCATGGTGTGTACTCGGTACACGGTGGGTGCCTGGTGCACTGTGTGTGCTTGGTGCACAGGGTCCCTTGGTGCACAGTGGGTGCCTGGTGCGTAGTAGGTGCTTGGTGCACAGTGTGCCCTTGGTGCACAGTGGGTGCTTGGTGTACAGTGTGTTTGGTACATGGTGGATGCTTGGCTCATAGTGGGTACTCAGTGCACAGAGGGTACACAGTGGGTTCTTGCCACACAGTGAGTGCTCGGTGGTCAGTGCATCATGGGGATGTCCTAAGTGTGAGGTCCCTCCCTCGTGTGTCCTGAACCCATGCATCTCCAGCATTATAGGATTCCATCGGAACTGTGTGGACACATGTTACTTGTTTCCAGTGAGGGTGTTTGGGGAAGGAGGGTCCTAAGTCCTTCGCGCCCTGGCCACCCGAGCCACCCGGCCTGCCGCAGTCCCAAAGCCCTGCAGCCCAGGAAGCACCTGAAGGAGACGAGGCCGGTGAAGAGCAGCGGGAAGACCAGCATGCACAGCATCACCTGCCACAGCCCATTGTCCACACAGAGCTGGCCCCACCACACCTTGGTCAGGAAGGCCTGCGGACAGACAGACGGGCACCATCAGGAGAGCCCTCGCCCACCCGGGACACCCCCACCCACCACGCTAACACTCCTGTCCCCCAGGAGTAGTAGGGACAGTCCCCAGCCAGGCAGGAGCAAGACCTGGTTTGGCTCATGTGTTTGCACCTGTGACATCGGGTGGGGAGATGTGTCTGCTCCGTGCATGTGACGTTCACACCACACCACACAGTCAAGTCCTTCGCACAGTCACACTGCTCCCTGAGCCCCACACCATGACGCAGGCAGACAGCCCACACCAGGATTCACTGTTCAGGGATGGGCTCGAGGTGGCAGGGCTGGCCAGACCCCTCCACGGTGAGTTGGAGAGGCTGGACCAGGCCTCAAACCCAAGCTTGGACCCCACATCCCATCTTTCCTCCATCTCCACCTGCACAATGCTGTCTCTCGGGGCCTCCCAGCTTGAAGCAACAGAGTCTTAGAGCTGGCCTCATTAATCTCTGCAGGCCAGGAACAGGGATGTTCCCCAGTATCCATGCTGGTTCTCAACGGAGATGGCAGATGACATGAAGCCATGCTCCCAAGAAATACCTCATCCAAGGGAGCACTTGCTGTAGTTGCCCGGGCAACACTGGAGCTTGCCTCCAGAAGCTTCCTGCACCCAGCTGCTCTGGGGACCCTCTGACCCCTCTTCTCTCCATTGGTCCCTGAGAATTCATGGGTAGAGTGAGGGCTAGAGGGGCATTAAACACAGGTAGGGGGATGGACGCCTTGTTCCCCAAGATCCCCAGGGAGAACTGCCTGGTGCTCTGTGTGGTAACATCATTCTTCATGTCCCACCAGCCACCTGCTTTGCTTAGCTTTGGTTTCCTGCAAAATGGGGGGGAAGACTCTTCCAGGCCTGGAGCAGCTGGCCGAAGGGTCAGGTGCTATCCCGAGTCACTGAGATCTGAGATGCATGCTGTCTGTGAGTAAGGGGCTATGTTCCCCAGAAGCACCCGGGAGCCTGTCTTGGGAATGGGCCCTCTCGGCCACCTGGACACCTCCGTGAGACACAAACTTCATGTGCTTGGCTTCAAGAGCGAGCTTCAGACAGGTGGTCTTCCCCCAGGCCTCGGACACTCGGATGAGCAGCTTCTGGGCCCGCTCCTCATCCTTCCGGTAGCACTCAGTGAAGACCCCTGATTGGAGCAGGAAGATGCACATCAGAACACAGGTGGCTACCCCAAAGCCCTGGAACAGCATTAGGGAGAGGCCCCTCCAGATGGCACCTCTGGACAGGGATAAGGGGGCAAGACTACCACCAGGCAAAACAGTGGGCCTGACGTCCCAAGGCACCCAGGCCTGAGGAGGATGACCCAGGGTGACACTGTGACCTGGGTCCCCTCAGGGCCCACATCCAGGGAGAAGGACCCAGGGTGAGGGCATGCAGGACTGATACTGTGACCTGGGTCCCCCCAGGGCTCACATCCAGGGAGGAGGACCCAGGGTGACACTCTGACCTGGGCTCCGTGGGGCTCACATCCAAGGAGGAGGACCCAGGGTGAGGGTGGGCAGGGCTGATACCATGACGTGGGTCCCCTCAGGGCTCACATCCAGGGAGGAGGACCCAGGGTGAGGGTGGGCAGGGCTGATACCATGACCTGGGTCCCCTCACGGCCCACTTCCAGGGAGAAGGACCCACGGTGAGGGTGGGCAGGACTGATACTGTGACCTGGGTCCCCCCAGGGCTCACATCCAGGGAGGAGGACCCAGGGTGAGGGTGGGCAGGGCTGATACCATGACCTGAGTCCCCTCAGGGCTCACACCCAGGGAGGAGGACCAGATGATGTCGTGACCCAGGCCGGCCCGTGGGACTCACCGATGGCTCTCAGCTCATACTCGTCCGCCAGTGCCAGCATCTCCTCTGAGCTGTCCGTGTCCTCCTCCTCCTTGGACAGCTCCTTCAGGAGCTTGCTGCAGGCCAAGGCCGCCATGATACAGTCCTGGCTCTGGGGACCGGGGGCCACAGTGAGGAGCCTGGAGGGCATACGAGGCTTCACCCAGCCTGAGGACCCCCAGTGTACCACCCAGAGACCCCAGCAGTACCACTTGCTGGGCAAGTACTCTTCGTGGCCTTGTCTATATAAACAATTAGAGTCACTCCAAAGCAACATGCCACACCTTTCTGGTGAGTCTGTCTTCTGCGATGGCCAGCGGGAGTGGTCCACACTCCAGGCTGCCTGCCTCGAACAGAGCCCAGCACAACCCTGCAGGCATAAGTCCCAATGCTCCATGGGTGTCTGGTCAACCCCAAACATGGGTGGAGGGTCAGAGAGTATCTCGAAAGGGAGAAACAGGGACTGGGCCCACGCAAGTCCCAGTCTGGGCTCAGGATGCCTGCTTCAATGGCACTCCCGGTCCTGGCCAGTCCCAGGCACCGAAGGGGCTGCAAAAAGTCTCCAGGGAGGCTCCCCAGAGCATGGGCGTCTGAGGGGCATGGCCTGGGTAGGAGCCCCGCTGGCCAGGGTCTGGGGGTGAGACCGGCCCAGGACACGGGATCAGCGTCAGAGCCTGGGAACACATACTTGGCCTTCCCGTCCCCGAGACGGGCAGCACAGGGAGCATGAGGGAGTAACCCTGAGATGGAATCAGAGTCAGCTCTGCCACTGACCCGCCTTGTGAGCCTGGGAGAGTCTTCAACCTCACAGAACCTCGGAGAAGGAGGACCCTGCAAATCCTGCTTCCCTGCAAGGGACACTGGGGAGGGAGGGATGGCCCCTTGAAAGTGACTTGGAAACACAGACATAGCAAATGAGGGACCCTCTTTTTGGGAAAAAAAAAAATTATACAATTGTACTTTCTCTTTCCCAGCAGAATCACCTTTAACTGGAGGAAAACCACAACGGAAATGACTTGGACCTACAAGTACGGTCGATTCTAATTATCCCAGGTAGTCATGTTCTATAAAAGTCGCTTTGATCACTGCATTAGTGAATCCAGAAACACTGCTCCAGGGGACATACAGCATTCCTGCAAGCCTCTGGTCACAAGAGTTTCATGAACCGATTGATACGTAAGCTTCTGTTATGTGTGTTTCTGTTTAAAGACATCTTATCTAACACACATTGTTGATTCATTTAACATTGAACTCATAGCCAACAGCACCATAACTCATGCCTGAATTAAGCTTACCTAAAGCACGTCTTTTCTCCGTAAAACACATCACAGCCTTCTTGGGCTTAGGAACACTAGATGGCACTTCAGCACTATGCTTGTAGGACCGTTTCAAACAGTGACATCACCGACGAAATGCACAGAAATGCAAAAAACATGGCACTGAATAGACTGTGAAAAGGCTCCTTGTTTGTAGCATGAGAATTGAAACAAGAAGGCAGAGTGTCGCCTTGCTCCACCTCAGCTGGGAACATGAGTGTTGGGCAACTAAGATTTTTTGCCACTCTGTGCACGTCCACAAGAGTATTGACTTTGTGGTCACAAATAAACTTTAATAAGTAGGCGAGTTCATGGAGCCCTGGTGGCACAGTGCTTAAGAGCTACAGCCACTAACCAAAAGGTCAGCAGTTCGAATCCACCAGCCGCTCCTTGGAAACTCTATAGGGGCAGTTCTACCCTGTCCTGTAGGGTCACTATGAGTTGGAATTGACTCGATGGCAATTGGTTTTACGCAAATTCACAGATACAGAATCCGTGAACAATGAGGATTGGTTGTACTTTGCTTCTCAAACGGCCACTCCTTAACTCTCTCCTATCTCTGGATGTGGAAGCTGCACACAGGCCTAGTGGCTGTAGGAGCTGCCTTGCCACTGGTTGATGTTCTGAGAGGGTACACGCAGGGACTCAGGGCAGAGAACATTTCAGTGGGGCTGCTCTCTGTCTAAGTAACAGACTCACTCTGTCTCTGTGAAGATCCCTGGAAGTCAAAGAGAAAAGATGCATCCTCTCTGGTGGTGGGTATGTTGCCCTGATGATTCAAACAGCCAGGGCAGCCACAGAATGGTATGGGCTAGAGTGGACGCACCACTGACCCGCGCCTGCCAGGCAAGCTGTGCTCAGACTCAACCACAGGAGGATTGTTTAGCAGACTTTCTCTTTTTAATTATCTTCCTGCCTAGACCTAAGCTCCTTGTTCCCCAACTCTTGGCATGCTGAGTCCTTCCTGGGGTTTGAAGACACCCCTGCACATCGCCATGGCCATGGGCCACTCCTGCCTGTTGTCGGCCACGGGTCTCTGCCACACCTATCAGTGCCAGTCTACACAGAGCCGAGTCTGCAGAGAAACAGGTCTTGTTACCTGAGCCCATATGATTTCCGCCAGCTCCTGGCGGTTCTGGATGATGGCCCAAATCAGCAGGTCTCGGACAGGGTCCACGGTGAAGGTGACGTGCCCTGACGATCGCTTGTAGAGGGACCGGAGACTCACTCCCTGCACCTGGTGAACAGCAGACAGAACACCACCTGGGCCACTCGTACCAGAACCCCAGGGGATTGTTGGAAATGCAGATCCTGAGCCCAGCCCCACACCCTCCTAGAATCCCTACCCCTGAGGTCTAGCCCTGGGACTGCATTGTCAGCAACACCCCAGATAATTCTATGCACCCAGTTTGAAAAAAAAAAAACTTGCTGTAGAGTCCACGCCGACTCATGGATACCCCATGTGTGTCAGACTAGAACTGCACTCCATAGGGATTTCAATGGATGATACTTTGGAAGTAGATCACCAGGCCTTTCTTTCGAGGTATCTCTGAGTGGACTTGAACTGCCAATGTTTTGGTTAGCAGCCAAGCATGTTCACCATTTGTACCAAGGCATGAGAGCCCAAGCTTCGTGGAAACATTAGTCAGTCTGGAAATGATTCCCATAGGTAGTGAACATATTTCCCACATAACACATACTCGTACTTTCTTAAAGCAATTTTAGAAATTTCTGGAAGACTTATCTTTAAAGAAAGCAGTTGACCTTCTTAAATGACACAGGTAAGGTTAAGTGTAAATGAGTTTCTGATTTTGACCTTCCAACTGGGATGTTAGGTAAACACAATGGAATCAAGAAGAGCAGGACTATGAATGTATAAAACTAAGCCTCAACCGTGTCTTTCTCAGGGGTCAGCCGATGGCTAGCTCACCATGGCACACAACTGAAAACCCAGATGAAACTGATAATTTTCCAGCAGGAAAAAAAACAAAACCAAATCTGATCTTACAACACATAGACAACCTTTACAGAGAAACCATCAGGAAAGAAACTGAGAAAGTTATCAGAGCTACTCCCCAAAAAAGCACCAGTCCCCGATGAATTCATAGGTGAATCTACCAAACTTGTAAGAAGTTAATTCCAGCCATTTAAACCATTCTGGGGCAAACAGTTAAGCACTTGGCTACTAACCAAAAAGTTGGTGGTTCGAACCCACCCAGAAGCAGCTCAGACGAAAGTTCTGGCAATCTACTTCTGAAAGATCACAGCTATTGAAAACCCTATCGAGCACAGTTCTACTCTGAAACACATGGGGTCGCCATGAGTCAGAATCAATGTTTTTAAGGAGCCCTGGTGGCACAACAGTTAAAGCACTTGACAGCTCACGGGAAGGTTGGCAGTTCAAAGCCACCCAGTAGCTCCACAGGAGAAAGACCTAAAGATCTGCTTTTGTAAAGATTACATCCAAGAAAACCTTACGGGGAAGTTCTACTCTGTCATATAGGGTCGCTATGAGTTGAAAATTGAGTCGGTGGCATCCAACAACAACAACAATAAATCATTCTAGAGTAGAGAAAGAAGAAAGGCTTCCAAATGGTTTTTACAAAGCAAACTTCTGACCAAGATGACCCCTAAAATAAAACTACAACCAAAGGTTAAAACATTCTGATGCTAAAACCCTGAAAATATTGTCACCAGAATCCGGCATCATATGAACAAGTATTACACTGCAATCAAGTTGAGACTCATAACAAGAATAAAAACATGTTTCACTATCAAGAAATCTATTAAAGGAATTCACCAAATTCATAGGTCAAAGAAGAAAAGCAGTTTCATCTTCTCAAACGTCATCTGACAAAACTCAGCCCTGACACTTCGTTTTGTAACACCTAATGATATGAGATTTCCAGAACAGGGAAATCTACAGAGACAGAAAGTAGATTAGTGGATGTTTAGGGCTAAGAGGGATAATAGGGGGATAGTTAGAGGGTGCAGACTTTTTTTCTTTAATGGGGCTTGTAGCAGGACAAGGAAGTGAGGGATCTGGGATGCGTTCAGATTTCCCTGGAGTTGAGCTATCCATTCAACAGATACGCTTTAAGGGCTAGCCCATCTCGTGTCACTTTTTTTTTTTGTGGTAATATATGTATATAACATAAAATTTGCCATTATAACCATTTTTAAGTGTACAATTCAGTGACACTAATCACATTCACCGTTTGTGCTACCATCACCACCATCCATTTCCAAAAGTTTTTCATCCCCTAAAACAGAAACTCTGTACTCCTTATACAGTAACTCCCTAACCTTCACTCCCTTCAGATGCTGGTAACCCCTAATAAACTTTGGTCTCTATGCATCTGACTCTTCTAGATATTTCATATAAATGAAATCACGCAGTATTTGTTTTTTTGTGTCTGACTTCTTTCACATAACATGATGTTTTCAAAGCTCATTCATGCTGTAGCAACAGAACTTCATTTTTTTATGGCAGAATAATATTCTATTGTATGGGTGTACACAATTTGTTTATCCACTCATCTGTTGATGGAGTCTTGGGTTGTTTCCACATTTGGCTATTGTGAATAGCGAGGCAATGATCATTGGTGTATACGTATCTGTTTGAATCCTTGCTTTCATTCTTTTGAGTCTATACCTAGAAGTAGAATTGCTGGATTATTTGGTAATCCTACGTTTAACTTTTTGAAGAACCACCAAACTGTTTTCCACAGCAGCCTCACCATTTTACATTCCCAAGGATTTCTTTTTGAGGTGGTGTAAATGTTTCCAGATTGACTGTGAAGATGGTGGCACATACCTGTGAATAAACTAAAAGCCATTGAATCGTACTTTCTAAATGATAAATTGTATGGTATGTGAATTACATCTCAATAAGACAGATTTTTAAAAAAAGAGTGTCAATAAAATTAAAAGAAAGAAAAACAATTAATCAGAAGAAGATAGTTGTTTCTTTAATATAAACACATGTACAAAAGCATCATATGTAACAGTGAGACAGACACCAACAGGTTTCCATTAAATAAGAATTCATACCAGAATATCCACTCTCCTCCTATCGCTCAGTGCGGGAGCTGTGCACCTCACAGATATGATGGAATATTCCTGACCTGACCACCCAGAGCCAACATCTAGTGGGCAGGACTGGGGGTAGGGGGTACAGGGTGCAAAGAAGATCGTTTTTGACTTCTGGGCAACATGGCGCTATAGTCAGAAGCACCACGCCGTCCCTCTGCAGCAAACAGCAGAAAAACTAAGTCAAACAGAGTCACACATCAATTCTGAAATCCTACGCATCAAATGAAGAGGTAAAGAACTCAGCCAAGCACTGAATGGAATAAGAAACTGACCGTGAACAGACAGCGAGGAGAGATACATACAGAGGTCCCCTATCAGCTACCACAGCACGGATCCACCATCTTGGACTCCTATCAGAGATCAGTGAACAGGGGGTACGAGAAAGCAGCTTCACAGAGCTTCCAGCAGGAGACAGAACAACCGGTAACCAGCAATATAGGCTTTCCCACCCCCTACCCTTCTTCACCTCCACTTAGCATCCTCTGCTTCCTGCAGCGACAGCCTCTCTTGGCTGTGAAGCACCCCAGCGTCGCTTGGATTCCAACCGCCTGCACTGGCTGGCTCCCTGAGTGCCTTTTGTTGGCTGCTGGTGTTGCTTTTTTCCACTTCTTTAGATTTCTTCCTTAACTCTCACCACCTCCCCCTCCTTTCTCTCAAATACCTGGCTCAGTGGGCCATCTTTGCTTCTTCCTGAGAGGCTAGGAAACACTGCTTGACTCTGAAACTGCTTCCCAGCCCGTGCCGCCATGCTGGTAGGACCCCCAGGGCTTTTTTGTTTGTTTGCTCTGATTTGTTCTGTTTTGATTTGTTTGTTTGTTTTCTTTTCTCAGCTTGGGAGGCCCTTCTAGCCGGGCAATACCACGCAGCTTGGAAGCTACTCTCTTACTCTGCGCAGACGCGCAGGGACATCCCTGGGGGCATTTCTTTTTTCTTGTTTGTGTTTGGGTTTGTTTTTTTGTTGTTCTGTTTCTTTGTTTTGTTTTCTTCTCTCTCTTATTGGCTTTTTGTCTTTCTTCATTTCCAGTTTCTCCATTTATTCATTTATTTTCTTTTACCCTTTTTCTGTTTTTTGAGTTTTGTTTTTCCCCATTTCTCAGTCTCTCATCTCTCCACTCCAACAGCAAGCTCCCTTAGCACTCTTTTTTGTTTGTGTGTATGTTTTTGGCTCCTGTTCCTCTCTCCTCTCTCTCATCTTTCCCATACCCATCATAGCTCCACACATCACAATCTACCCCCTCCTTCCTGCCTACCTGCATTGTGCGCTGAACATCACACTCCCAAGCAGCACAGGCACGGCCAACTGGAACCTGCCCTGCACTGACTCCCGGTCCACACTGTCAGCCTGGTATGTGCCACAAACAACCCATCCCAGCAACTCCCCTTCAGCTGGACTTGCCCTGCTGTACCATACCCGAGTGACTGACCCTGCCCATTGGAGAAGGAGGTGAAAAGTGTCATGCTCACAGATGAGCAAACAACGAAGAACGCACAGCCCACCTGCTCAGACATTACCAAATAAAACAAAAAAGCAGGATGAAACAAACAAATCTACAATCAATAAATGGGGAAAATAACCACTGAATGCCCCGAAGACAGCAGACACTATCAAAACAGTTACAAAAAACAGGACAGGGTGGTTCCAGTAGACATCCAAAACAAAACACCAGATGACCTTCCAGTAGAAGAAAAGGCACTAGACCTAACCGATGGGGAATTCAAATCTCTAATATTCAGAATTATCCAAGAGTTGAAGAAAAAAGCAGACAAAAAATGAGGAAAAAATAGACAAATTCATGGAAAAGGCAGACAAATTCATGAAAAATACAGACAAAAAATTGGAAGAATTCAAGAAAATAATACAAGAACAAAATGCTAAAATAAATTTACAACTAGAAATCATACAAAAACAACAATTAGAAATCCAAAAGATAAACAAGATTTCAGAAATCGACAGTGTCATAGAAGGGCTGAGGAGCAGGTCTGAGATGATGGAAGATAGGATCAGTGAAATTGAAGACAAACACTTGGACACAAATCTGAGGAAAAATCAGAAAAAAGAAGGAAGAAAAATGAAGAAACCCTGAGAATTATGTGGGATACAATCAAAAGCAAAAATCTACAAGTGATCAGAGTTCCAGAATAGAGGGAGAAAACAGAAAACACAGAGAGGATCATTG